TGATGTGTGGAGTGTAATAATGTGGAATATAAACTTAAGTTTAAGTTTGTAGGGTCGCCATTCTTGTCCCCCGGTCACCATCTTTTAACTTTTTCTGGTCATTTTACAATAAAATTACATTTAATCAATATTATAGGGGGTTTTTCAAAGAATAATTTTTACTACAAATTTGTTTAATTTCATTGATTTCTTTGGATTTTACAGAACTCCAATGTTCTTGAATACTCGTAAGAATACGATAAAAACGATTAGGCTTAGTTTTCTAGTATAAGTATTTATATTTTTTATTTATACAATTTATTATTTTGTTAACATTGTTTTGTGATTATTTGTTTATTATCTACTTTTCCCGACCATGTATGAAGTAAAGTTTGAAGGCGCGTTTAAGTGTTATTCCCATTAGGCTTAATCCACAAACAATTTCTAAGTGAGAGAATATTGAGCACAACTATAGATATATTTAAGAAGTTGTTTTTCCAGCTACTGTTTGTTACTTTTCTTTGATAGTCGAGGCTGTGTTCCTAATTCAGTAGAGTTAGAATTGGCGTAATTGTGGGTAATTCATTTTCAAATTCTTAGAAACTTTTGATTAATTTTGATATTTCCATGATATTACTGCAGGTTTCACCAGAACAATTAAGGCACACTTTAGAGCATTTGAGGTCTGCGTTTTGGCAACCACACATACTTTCACAGTTTGCCTTGCATCTGCAGAAAATTTATTTTAGAAGTTCAAGGGAGCTGGAGTTTTGAAAGTTTTGATTGGTATCCAAATTTTTTTACGTTTTTTTAGCCCCAAACTTCAGGATCGCAGTGTTTTCTGCTGATAAATTTTTAAGACTTTCGAAACGTGCTGTATCTTGTGAGGCGGAATCAATGATAAGTTAAATACATTTTTGTCACTTTGGTTATTTTGGTCTCGGCAAATCGTTTGTATCTCATGCTTTCAGAGAATCATCTTTCTTTCCATTATATAAAGAGACAAAAAAATATTCGCCAACGACAGTGAGCAAAGATAGCTGGGCCTTCTCACTGAGAAATATTGTTGTTCGGCTAGCGAATTAAGGGTGTTTCTGTAAAATTTCTGCTTTTTTCGTGACGGAGAAAGTTTTTTGTTGGCAAAAAAGGTCGATAATAAAATATAATAACATAGAAACTGTTAAGAAAATGATAAATTGATTCCGAAAGATGTGAATAAAAAAATATATAACTGGAAACTAAGTGGAATTGTTTCATTTTTATCATATTTTTATGAGTACTCATGAATCCGGTCAACTTCGGAATGCTATAAAACCGAAAGAAATTCATGAAATAAAAACACATTTGCAGTAAAAATTATTTGTTGAAAACCCTCTATAATAGTGCTCTCATGTCTTTTATTGCAAAATGACCAGAAAAAATTTATAAGGCTCAAACAAAAGTTTGTTCAAAAACTTCCAGACTCTACCTCATAGGTGATTGGGAAATCACCTATGAGGTAGATCAGTAATAAACTAATGATACCATAGGAATCACGATGATTACTACACTCCCTTTGAGAGGAGAGATTAAAGAGAAAGAGAGAAAGAGCGAGAAAGAGAGAGAGGGAGAGAGAGAGAGACCATAGGAAGGTTAACAAAATAATAAATGATATGAAGAAAAAAATATAAATAAAAAAATTAAGCTTAAGGTCGATTTAATGTAATTTTATTTTAAAATAACCAGAAAAAAGTTATAAGGTCCAAAAGATTTATTCAAAGATTTTAGTTATTTTTGTTTGTAACTTTTTTTTCAATTTTCGATTAAAAGTTATATAAATAAATACAATTTAATTTGCTATAAATAATGTTTTATAAAATTTTCACTCTCCTTTACACTTCTTATTTCAAGATGGCGAGTATTCAAGGACCCAATCAACATTGGAGCGCTGCAAAAACTAGAAAATGAATGAAATTAAACAAATTTGTAGTGAAAATTACTCTATGATATTACTCTGATATCATTTTATTTATTAAGGAATCCATTTACAAAAGTTTTCACACAGCTACACAACCATCCATTTTTTTTAAATTTATTGTTTTTTTTTAAATTATTGTTTTATTGTAAAATCGCTAGAAAAAGTTATAAGCGAAAAGCACAATAGAAAAATTTTTCAGAATTTTTTAGTTATTTTGGTTTATAACTTTTTTATTTTTTATTTTCCGATAAAAAGTAATACAGATAAAGTTGTAGAAAATTTAATTTGGTAAAAATAATGATTTATAAAATTTTCTGTAGAGTTGCTAATTTACGAGATACAGCGCAAAAAACCCTTTGCCTCTCTTTTTCAAGAGGACGGCCTGGGAACAAGGGTTGCGACTTCACAAACTTGAATTGAAGTTTATACTCAACACCCCCACATATCAACAAAATTAAATTGCTTCCTTTCAAAAATCTAATCTCAATGTAACTTTTCAATTGAATAAAAAATAAGTAGCTTATTCTATACGAGTATATAAATAGAAATACGTGTTCGTTTATTAAAATTTCAGTGTCGAAGTAATTTCTGTGAAACAAAATATCCTCGTTTATTTTACTAAATATATACACTGTATACCAATACATTTTCCAACACATAAAAATTAACGATAACATCACCATTATGAACGTAAACAATCTTACTCTGTAATTTGAGCCAGATAAAATGATTCAATAGTTGAACAACACTGTTGCCAGCTAAATCGAGTCTGTAATATGGCAATATGGTTTAACACATAAGTGATATACACATTCAGTATACTCATAAAAGCGCTCCCCACGGCAAATGGCTGAATTAAAGGCGACTTTACGGACTCATTTTGTTTTATAATTTGCAGCTATTCTATAATACCCACAATTTTTGTAATACATTTGTGCAGTAGGTAGAGGTCTCTAGTTTCTCATTCAATAAAATTTTGGTAGAAACTAACAATCAGTTAAAAGAAATACATGAAAAACTTTACGGACTCTGTATATTGAGTCCATAAATCGCTCGAGTCCGTTGTGTATGGTAAAAACCTTAATGCAGAGTCTGCAATGTTAGGAGGATATATATATATAATATATATACATATATATATAGATATATATATTATATATATATACATATATATATATATATATATATATAATATATATATATATATATAAAGTTATGTATAGCAATAATATTTTCTTTATGATTTATAGTATAGTATAGTAGTTAAATCATCTATTTTTAAATTTCTGTCAGCTGTATATGTTTAATGTTTATTTTTAACAACCATCAAACGTATGCATAATGTTTATCACATCACGGTTGAAACAAAAATAAACTATAAACAGTAGAAAGTATTCGTTTTTATTAAAAAATACATATTATATTATGATTACTAGGTAATAGGTGACAAAAGTAATAGGTTACCGGAACCTATTACCTGTCTGTCACCGGAACGATGGAACCTATTACTACAAAGTAAACTGTATTTTCCATGGCTAATATACGTTTTCAGGATTGTGATAAATTAAAATTCGTAAGCTTAGCAGATACAACAAAATTTGAGTCATACAGTTTGACCTTCCTTTCCGACGCTCTTCAAAATTTATTTGAGTTTTATGGAACACAATTTACTAAACATCAAAGACTTAAAAGTAGGCTCTGCATTCTTTATGCCGACGAAAATTACAAAAATGTAAATTTGCAAGAATTGGCTATAAAGTTACAACCAATTAAAGACATCGTTGCAGAAGCCTATAATTTGTTTTGTTTAATTCTGATAATTCCATCGACAAGCGTTTACGTAGAAAGAAGTTTTTCGTGCTTAAAAAGGTTAAAAACTTTTACAAGAAACACTATTTCACAAGATAGACTATCCAGTTTGACTGTTATCGCACTTCATAAAGAACTGTTGAATGAACTTATGCAGAAGCATATTTTCTACGAGGATATTATTGATAGATTTTGTAACGTTTATAGAACAGTTATTTGGCAATAATTCAAAACTCATTTGACTGTGTGTTGCATAGTTTCACTAATTTTAAAAGTTAAGGAGCATATGGAAATCCTGCAAAATCAACTAAAAGAAGAAACTAACTACTTCAGAATCAAGGATTTCAGTGATTCGATTTATGTTGAAGCATTAACTTAAAGAATGAATTTACTTGAATTATTTCTGATATAGTGAAGTTCCCAAAGTTCTAGAAGTACCCAAAAAAATGTGAAATGTATATAGAGGAGCATCTACAAGAACAAACTGGACAAATTGACTACATAAGTGATTCGGTAGTCGTTAAAATAAATGTAGAAGACGTACAAGAATGTTTAAAATAGAATAGAAATATGCTTTATTGTCACTTTGTAAAATTTTGTGGACAAAGCTTACAAAAAGTAAAAAAATAACAATAACAATTTAAAATTTACTGAAATTACATAAATTGTCAGATTGGGACAAACAAAAATATGTTATTTTGGAAGATGCTAAATTGATTTCCTTCGAAACAGATCTTATTGCATATCCGGCTGAGGCTACTTTTTACTAAACAAATCGATATGAAGGGACCATTTAACTTTGCTGTCTATAAAAATACCAAGAAATTTTACAGAATCAATTATTCTGACCTGGCTTTTATTAAGAGCAAGTGTTAGACCGATAGAAGCCCGTAGAGCAGGAGACAGGCCAATCAGCCGCCATCCACGCCTCTCGGCAACATTTAGTACTTACTACTATTAATACTTACTAATACTACGTAATTGGGTTCAAAGAGTACTGAGGGCCCTAGTAGTAAAGAATGAGAAATCTGTGAAAGTGTCGATTTCATATAAAACAACTAAAGTTTCTAAAATTAAGTGTATGAAAGTTCCCACACTGACAACAGATAATTGGAAATAAACATCTTAGTATTAGTATGAGTAGTAATGATATCCCTACATTGTTAATTTGGATGTGGACACAAAATATGAAGTCAAAATTTCAGTATTAAATTATATTTAGAGAGAAATATTAAAAATAAAAAATAAAACTTACCAAAATATACGGCGCAGCGTTTTTACTCTTATAAATATTCGAAACCAATCTATTAAAATAAGCATAATTATCATTTTTATCACCGAATTTCTTCAAGTCTTCTTTACAGTCGCCTTTTATAGTCTGAAAACCGGACTTCACTCCTTTCAACACGGCTTTGAAAGCTGGGAAAGCTATTCCTAAATCGTACCAAATATTGGCTTGCATTCCTTCGCATTCCCATTTGTGACCTTCGTTCCAGGAGGTCGTCCTACATTTCTCGTTACAGTATACGCACAGCGTACAACCGGTACACCTGAAACGTACAATTATAAACTTCTTGAAGAATATAATACGGACGTGTTCACGAATCTTTCGAACAATGCTTCAATAATAATAATTGATTCAATTGACATTTAATCAGGACATTTGGGTGAACATATGAGGACCATAAAAGTATGGGGGTATAAGGGACAAAAAGAAAATTTTGAGTAAACGCCGTTCAAATTTGAGCCTTCACCGTAATTGCCATGATTTTTAAATGTTCGTTTTTCTTCTCCAATTAAGTAACATTTTTATTACTATTTGTAACAAAAAATCATAATTTTATTGACTTTATTCATGTTGGGGCTATTTTTACGTTGCTAAGTAGCACTTAGATTTGAAGAATTCGGACTTCAAATTAACACCGGAAAAACAAAAATAATGATTGTAGACTTTAAGCAAATAGGGATTTTCGAAGTAGTCGACAGATTTGTATACTTGGGCTCTCTGATAACCAACAATGGTGATTGTTCCTCAGGAAATCAAACGTAGACTAGGAATGACCCGAACTGCAACTGCTAAATTAATTAAAATATGGAAAGACCGAACAATAACAAGGAATACTAAGCTCAGGTTGGTCAATGCCCTTATTTTTCCCATTGCTACATATGCAGCTGAAACATGGACTCTCAAAAAAAATCGATAGGAGTAAGATCGAAGCCTTTGAAATGTGGGTATATAGAAGAATTCTACGCGTGTCCTGGACAGAACATAGAACCAACCTGTCAATTCTGGAAGAGCTTCATATAAAAGACAGGCTACTAAAAAAAGTAAACCAAGCATACCTAACTTACTTCGGCCACATAGCTAGAAGAACGGGCACCATGGAACTATTGGTAGTAGAAGGAAAGGTAAAAGGCCGAAGACCAAGAGGAAGATCTCCAATACGATGGGTAGACCAAATGAAGAGTTTGGTGGGAAAATCCCTACATGAAGCCGTCCATATGGCACAAGATCGCAGTCAATGGAGACAGCAGACTAACAATATTTAGGGTGTCACTATGCCCTGACAAGGGCTAAAGGATTGAGGAGGAGGAAGTAGCACTTGTACCCTTTTACTTCTTATAAATGAGACACAAAGGTTAAAAATGTAAAAGGATCATAGCTTTTTTAACAATTTATTCTTCACCATAACACTAATACGTAACTGACTTATGATTCATCGACATCAGTGTCGTAATGGTGATCCAAATCGTCATTAACGACATCTGCTTCTTTTAGCTTGTTTGCTAGTTCTTCAGCTTGTTGGCCATCATGTCGTAGATTTATAAAACACCCATGGTACGTAGTTGACTAACTGTTAAAGATTTAAATATTTAGCTTGTTTAATGAGAGGCCTTTTGTCAATCGGTAATGGCAAGAGATTTAGCAGAAGGGCAGTTTTTGCCAGCTCGAATGGGTTTTATAGATAGCTCACTAAACTCTTTTATGATACCTCCAGTTGTTTTCTTGTAAAACAGGATTAGTTTGTCGTGTTATAAATGTAACAATTTTTCATCTGTACTGTAAAGAATTTTCTACTTATAAAAGTTACCAGCTCCATCCAATGTTGAGGTACATACAGGTGCTTTTGGTTCTTTTTTTTTAACTCTATCAAACCAAAGTTTTGAACACACTCATAAGAATAACCACTTATAAAAAAGCGATGATCTACTGTTTGAATACTAGTATTTTTGACAATGTAGAACTAAAATTTTACTGTCGGATGACTCTTATTTTGGCCTCCATAGTTGTCGCTAAATACAGTTATGTGTTTGACAGAATGATATTTTCTGAAATCCACGTGACGCCTAAACTTCGTGCCACAAAAAAATGGATCGTTCCAGTCTGTAGATTATAGATCCCTAAGTAATACGTCTATAGTTGCCTTGAATAATATGCTAAAGTTGACACATCACTTTGCTGGCATCCTTTAGGTAAGGACACTCATATTTTGCTGTTCATACGGCTTTCGTCTTCCGTAAGTAAAAGTATTTTTCTGTCTGAGGTAAAGCGTTTTCTTCTGTCGAACCATGATTTATTTTTATCTGAAATCTCCCACATTTATCACAGATATCTATACTTTTGAAACTAAGGTTAAACTGAGTAATCAAAATATTCCTGTAAAAGCTTTCGCTTACGAGTTCTTCACGTTTTTCCTCCTTACATAAATCACAATAAAGTTTGTACATTATTTTCAAATTACACTTCTGAGGAATATATTGCTCTATTCGGAGCATTAATTCTAGTGTACTGCCTTGTGTACCTAGGGAACTTATTAATATGCTCTTTTATAATTTCAATTGAACTTTCAAAAATTTTGTTCGAGGGTGATTTATTTCCACTTTTGTCTATGCATGACACGCCCGAGGAGATTTTTTTGCTTTCAACTACATTTTGTAAACGTTTGTTGGAGGAATCAAGAGTTTTTATTAAAAACTGTTTACATACTCCAAAACCATCCACATTATAAACACATGACACCTCTTTGATGCCAACTACATTTAGTTTTTTTCTTTGGCTCAGTCTGTATGGATCGATTTAGAAAAGTTTTTTGGAGATTCCAGTACCTAATGCTCAATACTCTTTAAAAATTGAAAGTCTTTGTCCTTGTGAAATCTTATTGGTACATTTGTTCCTACAATGATGATTTTCAAGTTCTCGTAACTTGTTTTTTTTTTCACTTATTTCACCACCGAATCCGAGACGAACTCTTCTTAAAAACACTGTAGTTTATAATAACGTAAAACGCTACAGTTTACATTAAAGTATTACTTTAACAATATTTAGAGGAGCTATACGCATGCAAAAAGATAAAAAACTCAACTAACAGTCTGACACAGTGGAAACGGGGTACAAGTGCACTTATATCTCTTCTATTCCAAGCCCTACTCATAGTTTGCTTGCAGGCTAAGTAACTTGCCGATAGAAAGCAGCACGTGTTAGACTTATCGCTTAGATCTCTTTACCTCTAAATAGAATGAAAGATTTCCAGTTCAGCGATGCAGTTTTCTTAATATTTACAAAACACGTCACTTTAGGGTCCTCATGTATAAAGAATTCTACTTTTAAGCTAAGTTATGACATCACAAAAATAGCCGGATTAAATTGGCAGTATGCTGCTCAGGATAGAGATGGAGTTTTGAGAGACCATGTCCAAAAATGGACAACAGAAGGCTAAGAAGAAACCGAGATGAGAATAGAATGGTCATAAAGGACTTAAAAAATAAAAAAAAATGATAATGCAAATGATGATAAAAAAGACAAAAAAGATAAAAATGTTAGAAAATTTAGGAGTATACGAAGCCACAGGAATAGAGATATTGACAATAACAGAAACCAATAAGAAGGAAAAAAGGAATAAACATTGACAACAATCATATTCGCTCCATGCAGTTGAACAAGTACCGCCATCTACAGGTTATTATATCATCACCATAAGGTTATTATATCATCACCATTTACACCATTGAAAACTTTTATAAATCTGGAGTAATAAAATCAAAAAATTTGTAATGAATCATAAATATTGTCTGTGTATTAATTATTTATATATAAATAACGTTATGGTAGTAGTAGTTCAAAATTTGGATATTTTTACAAACATAAAGTTGTATTTATATATTATAAACATTTTACTAGCCTATTCTGTATATTTCTTGAACAATGATATAATACCAATTTATATTTTTTATATTTAGTATACCAATTTATACAATTACAAAGTTTATTGAGAGTAAACCTTAACAACCAAATAGTATCTAGTCCAGAAAATTTAGGAGATATGTGGAAAAAATACATCAAGGATCTGTTTGATGACGAGAGAACAGAACCACAAATGAATTTAGTACAAGGAACAATATTTGAGATATTAACATCGAAAGTTACAAAAACTATGAATACGGCAAAGCCACGAAAAGCCTCAGGTCCAGATGAAATATACGTATAGATGATAAAGCTTATCAATGAAGAAAATCTTCAGACGTTAACACTATTATTTAATAAAATATATACCACTGAAATCTTACCAGAAGACTGGCTTAGATCGACATTTATACCTATACCCAAGAAAAATAAAGCAAATAAATGCTCACAGTTCAGATTAATTAGCCTGATGAGCCATTTTACTTTGCCATATATTCAGTATTGTGAAATATTTGTGTTTTGTACTCATCCCACACTTCATTTCCAATTACATTAGAAGAATTTGTTTTAATGAAACGTTCCAAAATGAATTTATTTAGTTATATAAGTATAGCGTTTCCTGGTTTCAGTGAAATACCAATATGACACTATCTCTCCTTCTCGCGCCTTTATATTATCCTATACTGCAACGTTATTGTTGATTTTCTCCAATTACCGTTTAAATGAGTAGTAAGAACACAAGTTTTGTTTTTTAATCCAGCTTGCAATAAAATACCACTTTAATGCCATATTTGCACATTTGACTAATACAGTTCTGGTATCCAGATTTGTGTCGAGTTTGCTCAGTAAGATAGATTACTGTAGAAACGTGTAGTGCATTTATCGAGCAAAAAGACAAAAGAGGGAATTTAATCGTTATGAAAAGGAGACCAAAATTCATAAAAGTGGCCTCTTAATATGGCGGACATATCCGGAAATGAAAAGGCTCCAAATTTAAGACTATGTTCCAATATTATTATAAGCAGTATGTTACAAACACTTAAAATACTTTTTTTAACGCTAGAGCATAATAAGGTTTTAATTAAATAACGATAATGGTCTAAAATGTGACACGATTGCTAACAAACTTTAATATAAATAAGCTTTTATGTGACAGTTGGGCAAACAATAAACATAACCCAACTAAATTTGATTTCTTAAACAAGGAAAGAGACTCTTTCCTTGTTTAATGTGGCCTCTCAAAATTACATTCCCGTCTAACAATATTTTTGCCCCCACTACCTTTACGTTCCCTCTTCTGTCTTTTTGCTCGATGAGTGCATTGCTATGTCTACGAGGTAAAAGGCTTTATACACTGTGACCTGTAGTTGTTTGTTTCCGACGTTTGCAGTTGCGGCAAACTTGCAGGTTATACCATTCAACGAAAAGATGAAGGACAGAAAAAACACTGAATAGGTGATTAGTATTATGCCAACCAGAAATATCTGATCCGGTCTTATCTGATAATATATTTTAGACATCTATACGCTATAAACAAACTAGCATTATTTAATACTTACGGAACACTGCTGATGATATCTTTCAAACAGCTATAGCACTTGAACGAATAAAATTCTTTGCTTTCTTTGAAAACTGGAGCAAATATAAAAGCTTTTTCTATGAACAAAACTTCTCCTTTCGTGATGTTTTTCGCTGCAACTACGTGACGGCCTTTTTCTTTATCGTAACTAAAAAAAACACGGCAAAAATGAATGACCTAAAATAACAAACATTCGTGTGAAAGTATTTTTATTTGATACATACATTTGAATTCGACACTTTTATTCACTTTTAATAAATTATATTTGTGTTATTAAAACATTATCATAAATACTTACTCCATTTTAATTTTTGAAGAGGCATACGCGAAATTCGTACTTTCTCCTTCGCTAAATTCGGGAAGATCATTCAAATTATCACGATGCACCTCAGCGGGTTTACATTTTATCTTCGACTTTTTCATCTGCTCTAATTTTTCGAAGTGCTTATCTAAAAATGAGACAGAAGTTTTTTACTTTTTCTACAACAAATTACACGTTACCAATAACCTAACGACAACCGAATTGATCAAATTCTGGATGTCGTTTTGAGGAAAAACTTCCCATTCTTCCATGAGCGCCAACCAAAGCTGCTCACAATTTATTGGAGCAGGTATTCTGTTTCTTACCTTTCGTTTGAGTTGGTCCCAAACATGTTCAATCGGGTTCAAATGTGGACTTTGAGCCGGCCAGTTCATTTTTGGCATACCGACGTGTGGCCGCCCATTGTCTTGCATAAAAATAAAGTTTTCGCCGACAAACTCAGCAAAATGATTTACATGCCCGTCTAGAATTTCGGTAATGTATCAGTGTGCATTCAACGCTACTCTATCAATAAATACGAGATCAGCACGGACCTCGAATGAAATGCCCGTCCAAAACATTACCGAACCTTTCCCAAAAGCAACAAGTACTCGTCGAACACAAGCAGTATATCGTTCCACACGTCTTCTGTATGTTTTGATGCGACCATCTGAGCCATAAAGAACCATCCTGGGCTCATCACTAAACAAAACATTTTTCCAATCTTCTATCGTCCAATGCTCGTGGTCTCTAGCAAACTGTAGTCGGCGTTGTCGATGTGCTGCTGTTAACAAAGGTCCTGTTGCTGGACAGCGAGCCCTTAGACCAAATTCTCCCAATCTCCTTCTCACGGTAGAAGTGCTTAAAGTCCACCCGTGAGCATTTTGAAAATGGTTTTGGATTGATCTAGCCGTAAAAACAGATTTTGCAAAGAAGTGCGTTGTAAAGAACTGTCTTCTCTGGCCGTCGTGATTCTTCTCGGACCTGATTCTGGTCGTCGTTCGTGAGATCCAGTCTGTACGAATCGTTGGTAAATTTTTTGGACCATACAACGACTGACTCCAAGCTGTCTGGCAAGTTCTTTTTGACTCATTCCATTACCAATCAAAGTAACAATTTGAACAGATATAGCAAAGGCTATAGCGGGATAAGATGGTCAAAATTGCACCATGCTCGATTTAGTTTTGGGCCTGGCCATTCGAAAGGACATAATTAAAAACTCACTCCGTTAAATTTTCAAGTCCTTAGGTGCCTCTAGGGTTCGCTACGGAAAAAAAAGTATTAAAAAAAAATTTTTTTTTTAGACGCTGTATGCTGCAAAAAATCTGAAAAAATTCATGAAAGCGTAGTTTAATAATACAATACTACCTCATTTTTTTCAGATTTTTAGCTTGAAAATTGAGCCAAGGAAAAATATTTGAAATTTTCATTAATATTTTAGGTTATATCGGAAATTTTTGGCCAACTTTAAAACAATGTTTTTTTTATGGGATTTTTCCCATTCTTTCGAATGGCATAGTTATTATTATCATTTTCAACGTGGAAAATGCCTAAAAATCGAAAAAAACTGCTTTTTTGGCATTTTTCTGAAGCACTCCCACCCCGTAACAATAAATTGTATGGGCCCAGGAACAAAACAAAAAAAAATAAACAAAAAGAAAATAAGTATTACATAGAAAACAAAAAATTTATTTATACTGCCATGCTACAATAATATCAGTTTTTATAAAAAAAATATTAAAATAAACATAAATTAGGTTTTTTAGTGAGATGGATGACTCATAACCTTAACAACATACATCTAAATTAATGATAATTCATATTTTTATATGTATTCTTACCTTTACAATCGAAACACGCTATTAAAACTATTATTTTTTGCCTACAGCATGCTAAAAAAAAAACGAAAAATCCCGTTTTTTTGTTAGTGTCTAAATTAATGGTAATTTACATTTTCACATGGATCTTTCCCTTTACAATCAAAATCAGTTATTCAAAGCATTAGTTTTATCTCACAACTTTTGAAAAACTGAAAAACCCCGTTTTCTCCATGTTTTTACTACATGACCTCAAAAGACTCTGAAAAATGAATCGTGAATTAGAACGCACTTGTACACTCAAAAGTTGTGGAATTATACGCTAGCGAATATATCTACATATATACGTGATATTATATCACAATGTACATGCATTTATACACAAACGCATATCTATATAGTTCCATGACTTTTGAGATCCTTGTTATATAAATTCTTAAGCTCGTACCATGCTCGTCCATGTCTTACTCTTCCGCTTAGATACAAGAGCCCTATACCCATGCTTATATTATTATTTTATTTTATATTTTATATGTACTTAACTGTTTTGGCCTTCATGTCTTAGCCCGACATCCCGCATATCCAGGGAGCCTGATTGTAACAGAAAACATAGCGTTGATAGTTGCGCCACACGGTAGTTGATATTAGGCGGCGCAACTACCAACGCCATGTATATATGATATAATCAGGCTCGCATTATATATTGCTCTTAGTGCGTTTGCGTGTGTAGGGCCATATCCTCTGTATCGCTCTTAGTCTGTTGGCGTGTTAGGGCCTTTATCTTTTCGGCGGGGCTTTTCCTCAAATGTTAAATAGCTCTCTGTTTTTGTGTTTATTTTGAATTGATTTTGAATTTGGCAGCAGAATTGTGTCGTGTCTAAAATAACAGGCAACAATAACCAGTATTATTGTTTTATATTGTGAAGCAACAAATTCTTTTTTTACTATAACGTCGATCCTATGCATTGTGGTTATTTATTGGTCGGAGGTTAATAGTAAAGTAAACATCATATGGAGGTTCACGAAAGCCAATGCTGTATTTTTATTTACACTGCGTTTCGACGTTCTGCTGAATACCTCTTGCTAGATCTTTCTCAATTTTTGACTGAATCAACTGTGTAACAAAGTAAGTTTAGTAAGTATTATTTACATTATTATATCTTATGGCAGTATAAATAAATTTTTTGTTTTCTATGTAATACTTATTTGTTTTTGTTTTGTTCCTGGGTCCATACAATTAATTGTTAAGGGGTGGAGGTGCTTCAGAAAAAATGCCAAAAAAAGCAGTTTTTTTTCGATTTTTAGACATTTTCTACGTTGAAAATGATAATAATACCTATGCCATTCGACAGAACGGGAAAAAACCCATAAAAAAAACATTGTTTTAAAGTTGGCCAAAAATTTCCGACATAACCTAAAATATGAATGAAAATTTCAAATATTTTTCCTTGGCTCAATTTTCAAGCTAAAAATCTGAAAAAAATCAGGTTGTATTGTATTATTAAACTACGCTTTCGTGAATTTTTTCAGATTTTTTGTAGCAATACAGCGTCTAAAAAAATTTTTTTTTTAAGGTTTTTTCTAATAGCGAACCCCCAGACGCACCTAGGGACTTGAAAATTTAACTGAGTGAGTTTTTAATTATGTCCTTTCGAATGGCTAGGCCGAAAACTGAATCGAGCATGGTGCAATTTTGACCACCTTATCCCCCTATAGCCTTTCTCACCCATAGTTTTAAATTTAAAAATTGCACAAGTTTACTCTTCGAACACCTGTACACTAGTGAAAGGTTTTTGAAAAACAAAATAGCCATATTCCAAAACAATAAGGTATAAACAACACATGCATTATCAGAAGTCTTAAAACTGATATCAATTCTGCAAACTTATTACCCTTAATTGACCTGTCGGCACCGTTTGTCGGTGCCTAAAAGACGTCAAAAGTGTTTCTGCATTGTGGCAGTTTAGTTACAATAGAGTAAATTGTATAAACTTAAAGTTATTGAAAAATTCTTACAAAATTCTAGCTAGCCTCTTTTTCGTGACAAGCAGTGTACAAAAATCTTTTTTAGTGTGAGTCTTTAAGAGCAGTCCCAACACTACCAGAAGAAGCACAAAATATAATCTCCAAAATTAAAGAACTAAGAAATAAGCTAATCAAACCACTCTTGCGAAAGACCTGGAAAGAGGAAAAGTTCCCTGAAGAATGGAAAACGCACTTATAAATAAAGACAACAAAGAAAAGTTACAAAAGATATTACGAAAACTGGAGAGGAATCACACTTCTGAATACAATAAGTAAATTAACAGCAATAATTCTAAACAAACCGATTGACTAACAATGTGGAATAAATGTTAAGAAAGGAACAAGCCAGCTTCAGACCAAACAAACAACAAATTGTAGGGCAAGAAGTGTCAACAATGTAGTGAATTAGCTAAAGACGTACATCTCCGACTTATTCATCTTTTTCTTGATAGAGCCTCGCGAACTCTTCGCTATATGGAGCTAGTGTAATACTTATAAAAATTCTTGTCTTTATTTTGAAAATGATCAATGACCTAACTTACCTCTATCGTCGACTAATGTTATGCTAAGAAACTTTTGTATTTCTCCGACACATTTATCGAAATCGTCTTTTTGGCCAGTCTCGACGAAACAATCCGCTTTTCTGAAGTAAATTTTCGGTATGAGATCCACTGGATAGTCAGTTTTGAAACACAGATCTATGTCTTTTAAGCAGTTCTAAAAAAAAATAAAGTATAGATAGATATTTCAGCTACCGCGACTCATTTACTATATCACGTTGTAATATTGAAGATATTGAATTGAAGATAATTGTATTTACTCTGATAGTAAAAGTAATTGGACAAGCTTTATTTAAAATGTTTGAAGATTATTTTTCTAGACTTGCTATTTATTTTATCGATTTCTATGCATAAAATGGCTGTTTATGTTATGGTTGAAGAGAAAGAAGTAAAAAAGAGTTAAAAAAGTGAAAAAACAGAATCTGATTCAACAGCTTCCCGAACGAATTCCTCAGAGTAAGTGTTAAAAATAAAGGTGTAAAGAGGGTAAAAATTTCTCAGCCAATTTTTACTGCTGTTTACTGATTGTAGTTAAATTATGATATTAATCTTATACAGGGTGTCCTAACGTAATTGTATAAAAGGAAACAGTATATTCTATACTTTAAAATATTAAGATTTCAGCCTACTTGCTTTAATAAAATGTTGATATAAGAAATATACAAGGTGAAAGTTGAAAGTAAAAATTTTATTTTTCGCTATAACTTTCATGTTTGTGGATATTTATAGATAACAATTTATAACTGGGGCTCCTGAGTATGAGGAAGTATACTTTAATACATACTTTGATGTAGCTGATAGAGGTCGCCACATATGCCATATATGAGGCATACATTTGCGTACTTTTTTGTTTTTCAAGTTATCGCTATTTGTTTCCAAAAATATTTACGATACATTATTTCAAAGAAAGACATACTTGTTAATAACTTCAAAACTCGACAGTTTTCGAGATAATCGTATTTACAAATCAGCTGCATAATCATTCTTAGTTGTGATATTGGTGGGTTAAATCATTGAATACCTGTGGATAAGCATAATGAATAATTTATTCTTAAAAAACAGCTCAAAGATGGTTATATATCACCACAAAATGTTTTGTTACGGCTACTAAATGTTTTATTTGAAGCCAGTTTTGATGTCACCATTAGACAATTCCAATTTAATGTATTACGGGAAATCTTAACATAATAGGCTGATGTCACAAATGTTTTTGACAGCAAAAATAAGTCTTGTTTCGATTAATCGGTGATTTTTGTAATACCTAGTTTATTTTGGTTTATTAATTTGGTATTATTTACGTCAAACATAATGCTGTAATATTTAGCATCACTAATTTTTTTCACGAAAACAGACAAAATTTCGTCTTTACAACATTCAATCAACTCATTTTGCGTTCTTTTGCTAATATCTGTGGCACGTGACGACGTGTTTCTTAAATGCTCTTCTAAAGTTTTGTCTCCTGCTTCGATTCTGAAACGAAGAAACTCTCGGAAGTTTCCCTCATTCTTTGTCACATTGCTTTCTTCTAATATGCCCAGGTTTTTTAATTTGAGCCTAATAATAATTTGCAGCCACTTTCGTTCAAATCGGAATCTATTAACTTTTGTATTTCGAAATAGCATCCTATATAGCGAACATCTGCGCTGGACGAGAGAAAACTGCAGAGTATTATTTACTCATTGCTGATGTATTCGTTCCGTTATCAAACAGAAAATTATTCCTAACCTATCTATGTATTTTTACTCACCTGTCACGTCACCCTGGAATAGAATGATGATTACAATCCGGCAATATATATAGTGCACTGCACCTATGTCATCTCTATAACTACGATACGATCGTGTATATCGGGTAGACGATAGATACTTCAGAACGTTCAAATTTCTACACAATACACAACGATATAACTTCCATAAAAAAAATATGTACATAGGCATTCTTATGTTTCTGTTTCTACACTGGACGTCGGAGGTGTCGGGATTCGCGCGGGAGGCGATGCACTTGCATTGGCCTAACCAGAATTGAAGAGACAGGCATTATGATTAATTATCATTATTACAGATTGCAGTATCTAGGTATTTCAAAATCCGTATGTGAATCCATTCAAAATAATTAATTTACAGAGTAAATAATTTAAAATATATTAACATAACATTATCCTGTGTTACTAGACAAGTTTATTTAAGGTGCATTGCCACATTTGGGGCGGGGGGGGGGGGCATGCCCCCCTTATGACCGCCCTTGCTTCCATGTATTATGTGTGTGGCTTATTAAGGAAATTGTTCTGTACTGGGAGCATTCTGTCGCATGTACTGACTTTGGTAGTGTTACAAACGTGGACAGCAACCTTGAACAGATCTAAATGTATATGCAGTGTTTCTTCGTCAATGCGTTTAATTAGCTCAGTGGGTATCTGATCTGGGCCTACTGATTTTGCGGTCTTTGCATTTCTAATTGCCTGTTCTAATTCGCACATTATTATTTTCGGTCCTGTTTGTTCCTGCGGTTCTTCTTGTATCATTATCATCGTCGAATAGTTTTATTATGTATTCTTGCCAAAATCTTAGTTTATCTTGATGTCTGTAATGAGTTTACCATTATCATTTTTGAGTATCCCATAGTATGCTCGCTTTTTGGTATTTGTTAGTTCTTTTATTTTTTTATGCATATTAAAGCTGTCGTATTTTCTGTCATACTCTTCTATTTCTATGCATTGATCTGTTAACCACTTTTCTTTGGCCTTTTTTATCTCTATTTTGATTCTACTTTGTAGTTCTTGATATTTTGGCTCATTTCTCCCTTTGGCTTTTCTCCTCTCTTCCATTAATGCTAGAATTTCTGAAGTCATCCACTTCTCATTTTTATTTGTCTTTTCAAGCTTTAAATTTTCTTCTGCAGCTTTTACTAATGCCTTCTGAAGGTTACCAGGTTACTTGGGCTTAAAACACTATTGATTGAGTCTATTTAACTATTATAATTTATTAACTTCAAAAAACCATTGATCATTATAAATACAACAAAATTTTACTATATTATACCTACTTTCATATTCCACACATGATTACAAAGCAGCAATCACAGATACTGCGCTACAACTAAATATTGTTGATGACAAATAGGATGTTCATGTGCAATAATATAGTAAAAAAAATCATAGAAATCATGTGACAATGAGGTTATACCTAAGTGAAAATAAGATAAATTAATTTACATGAATACACATAGACAAATGATTCCTATAACTAACTATTCAGGGTATACTGACATTAAACACAACAGTACCAACATTAATAATGTTGAACGCACTAGTCATTGCCCAAATTCTGCTCCAGACATTAAAAAAATGTTGAAGTAAATCGATCATACATTGAAGTTGCAACTAAGTGCTGAGGACTTCAGATATTAGAAGGCATTGTATTTGCCACTGTGTGAAATATTGTTCATCGATGAGGAAGATATATGTGTGAGTGCCACATTTACACAATCAATTAAAGACTGATTTACTGATTCAAAGAGTGTTAAGAATTGCTTAATCATGATAAACAACGTTGGCTTCTCTATTTTGGGAAGGTATTTTATTCATTAATTACACAGGCAGACATGATTTTTGGTGTTTTGAGTTTGACATGTGTCCTTAGCTAATACGGATACGCTGACTCTGAATATGTCGGTTTAAGCCCATCACGTCAAAATATTTCACAAAATTAAAAAAACCTTGTGAGATATTATGTACTAGCGCAAACAAATACCTTATTAATATTTCGTAAATTGCATTAAAATTATTTCTTTAAAATACTTATATTTCGAAAGAAAATATTTTAATACATTATGGTAATTTCATTTGTATTGCGTAAATAGAGTTAATTATCTTCAGTTGTTTGTAGCATAGAATTGTATTTTGTTTTACGAGTGTTTATCGCGCCATTCCATAATGTCATCAAGAAAGTGTAAGAACAGTCCTGATATATTTTGTTACGTGTTTGGTGCTTTAACAATAGGAAAGCATCAACCAAACATAACAGACTTTATAAAGAAAGCTATCACGCTTACTTGGGTGTAAAGCTTGGTGATCAGGACAAACCTTGGGATCCACACAGAGTGTGCTTTCAGTGTGTCGAACTACTGAAAAAATGGACAAATAAGACACGTAACTCTTTCCTTCGTCATTCCTATGGTATGGAGGGAACCAGAAAACCATGGAGACGACTCCTACTTTTGCTCCTGCGGTATCAAGGGTTTTAATTCAAAAAATAAACACAAAATTCAATATCCTGATTTACCTTCTGCTAAACGACCTATATCTCATGGGCCAGGAATCCCTATTCCTCCAGGTTTTCTTCGCACCATCCAACAGCAATCATCAATAAAAGTTCAGATAAAAAAAACCGATGACAATGAATTCAATCCTGAGATAGACCAACCCTAAAAGATTATCCAAGCTGAACTAAATGACTTAGTGAGAGACTTATGCCTATCGAAGGATGATGCACAAATCTTAGGATCATGACTGAAAGATAAAAATCTATTGGCTCTAGGTGCCACATTTTCGTGATATAGGCATCGTGAAAAAGAGTTAGCAGAATATTTTTCTCAAGAGCTACTCACTGGTGTATTGTCATACCTGAAGTAGTCATGAAACTGGGAGCTGACAATTACGATTCCACATCATGGCGGTTATTTATTGATTCTTCTAAGACAAGTCTGAAGAGTGTCTTGTTGCACGATGGTTAAACTTATGCCTCAGTGCCTGTTACACACTCCGTGCATCTCAAAGAAACACAATAGAATCTTGAGCTGTTGCTAAATAAAATAAAGTATAGCGAATATTGTTGGCAACTCTGTGGAGATCTCAAAGTAATATCTATGCTTTTGGTTCAGCAGTCTGGATTCACAAAGTATCCATGTTTTTTGTGCAAGTGGGACAGTGGAGCACGAAATTTACATTACGTTAAGAAAGAGTGGCCACTCAGAGAAAAACTTGTACCGGGAGAAAAAAATGTGCAACGTGATACACTAGTTGACCCAAAATTAGTTCTTTTGTCTCCTCTTCACCTAAAATTAGGATTGATGAAGCAGTTTGTCAAAGCTTTAGATAAACAAGGTGACTGCTGTAAATACATGTCAACAAATTTCCTGCACTTTCTAAAGCTAACCTTA